TTGTATTGCTAAAAACAAAAAAAATAGTTTAGTGTTCCACATTCAGAACAAATCAATAAAACGGTAAAAAAAATAAGGGACAAAGATACTTGAAAACCTGAAGAAAAAAAAAATAGTTTAAGGCAATTCCAAGTGTTACACCTACTTATTCTCCTGGTCTCCTTCTGCCATTTTATAAACATCTCTAGTTCTCATCCCTTTTCCTGCTTGTAGCAGTATGAAAATGGAGGATGGGGTAAACTGACTCTATAGACAAGGGAACAAACTAGAAGAATTATGTCTAATGCAAAATAAAAACAAAAAAGAGAGGGCCTATTTAATCTACTTAGATTTCCTTTAGAAATAAAGTGTTCCATTAAAATATAGGGAAAGTTCAGACAAGCATGAGTCACAGAGTCAGCAATCCCCCAAGCAACGAAAACAGTGTAAAACTGAGGCCCTTCTCCATGCAAACAAATTCCGTATCTTCCCAAATGACCAGAGCAACCCATCTGACACTATATGCAAATGAAACCAGAGATCTAACTTTTTATTTAGCTAAGATGTGGGTTTACTTTTTTTTTTTAAAGAGAATTAACAATATTCAAATAATAGAACTTTTAAAAATACTGTAACTACAGCATTGCCAAAATGATGCATAATTTGCTGATGAACTGACCGGTCATGAGTTAAATGTTTTCCACTAATACAAACAACCTTGTTTAAAGATACTTTTTGCCAAATTGGTTGGACTTCGTAAATCTGGGAATCACGGAAAGCTAATGATTGCTGTGAGGCTACAGCAACAGAAGAAATATTTGTAAGATGATGTTTCACAAGCCACTCCCCATCACTTCACATTGGTACAGATTTCTGTGTCACTGCTAGAGTCCCCTCCAACGGAGTTAATGGAATTTCAGTTTTCACAGCACTACACACATGAACAAGTTTCAGATGTTGAGCTTTAAGAAAGCTGTAATGTGCTAGTTAAGACTTCAAATTATCTGGTACCCAGTTACAACTGATAATATGCCCCCACCCCCCCCCCCCCC